TCCCGGCCGAAGGCACGGGTTACACTAGTCACCTTAATAACACCAGAATATGTGTGTGTGTGTGTGTGTGTGTGTGTGTGTGTGTGTGTGTGTGTGTGTGTGTGTGTGTGTGTGTGTGTGTGTGTGTGTGTGTGTGTGTGTGTGTGTGTGTGTGTGTGTGTGTGTGTGTGTGTGTGTGTGTGTGTGTGTGTGTGTGTGTGTGTGTGTGTGTGTGTGTGTGTGTGTGTGTGTGTGTGTGTCTGTCTGTCTGTCTGTCTGTCTGTCTGTCTGTCTGTCTGTCTGTCTGTCTGTCTGTACTCTGTCTGTCTGTCTGTCTGTCTGTCTGTCTGTCTGTCTGTCTGTCTGTCTGTCTGTCTGTCTGTCTGATCGTCTGTGTGTAATTTCCGGTCGGTTATACAAAAAAAGCGGTAAGAGTTACGGGACTGGTTTTTTCGGTATAGTGCCGACAAAACTCTGATGAAGCCCATAAGAAAATTTTTTTTAAATCGGCCGGTGGTAAGTGGTTTAATTGATGGTTTTGTACCACAAATGTTACATAAAATTGCTTGAGCAGAACGGCAAGAGTTACGGGGCTTGCTCTCTCTCTCTCATTAGTCATCACAGTGCTGGCAAGCACGAGCGGTGTCTTTATTTGGGGTATACTATGTACCCCCTTTACTATTGTACCCCCTTTACTATTATACCCCCTTAACTATTATACCCCCTCTACTATTATACCCCCTTTGGTACACGTTGGAAGCCTCTTTCGTGCACTCCGGCCGGAGGCGGCGGCCGAAGGCCGCCGCCTCCGGCAGGAGTTTTTCAGGCATTAAGACTCATCGGAAGTCGTTCAGCAGATTTATTTTTAGTTCAAAACATTCTAATTTGATGTCAAAGATGACAGGAATAAAAAATAGTTATGTTGAGATTTTTAAGAAATTTGCATAAAATACTCGCCAGCACTGTTATACGAAATTCGGTAAAAAACCCAAAATCGCCATATTCAGGTGCCTTAAAAACCATGTTAAAATTGAGTTAGAGATCTGAAATTTTTCAGGGCGTCTAGACGTTGACCAAATCGACTGCAAAAAAAGTTTCAGGTTTCAGGAGCATCGGGAAATGGGTTTTCTAGAACCCCTGTTTTACGATAGATTGTCGTGATGTTAAAATTGAGTTAGAGATCTGAAATTTTTCAGGGCGTCTAGACGTTGACCAAATCGACTGCAAAAAAAGTTTCAGGTTTCAGGAGCATCGGGAAATGGGTTTTCTAGAACCCCTGTTTTACGATAGATTGTCGTGATCACAGTGCTGGCAAGCACGAGCGGTGTCTTTATTGGGGGTATACTATGTACCCCCTTTACTATTGTACCCCCTTTACTATTATACCCCCTTTACTATTATAACCCCTTTAGTACTCGTCGGAAGCCTCTTTCGTGCACGCGAAGCGTGCACTCCGGCCGCCGCCTCCGGCAGGAGTTTTTCAGGCATTAAGACTCATCGGAAGTCGTTCAGCAGATTTATTTTTAGTTCAAAACATTCTAATTTGATGTCAAAGATGACAGGAATAAAAATAGTTATGTTGAGATTTTTAAGAAATTCGCATAAAATAGTAAAAATACTTGCCAGCACTGTTATACGAAATTCGGTAAAAAACCCAAAATCGCCATATTCAGGTGCCTTAAAAACCATGTTAAAATTGAGTTAGAGATCTGAAATTTTTCAGGGCGTCTAGACGTTGACCAAATCGACTGCAAAAAAAGTTTCAGGTTTCAGGAGCATCGGGAAGTGGGTTTTCTAGAACCCCTGTTTTACGATAGATTGTCGTGATACATATATACATATATTCAGGGATAGACGCTTTGCCAGTCAATTGTAGCCTGTATTTAATTGTCCATAGATTCAAAAGTATAAAAGATACAGCCATTTCCGACCACAGGTCTTGCAAATAATTGTTTATACTTTAGTTTACATTGTATAAAAAAATTATATGACGTCATAAACACCCCTTGATGACGTCATCAAGTTAACCGTCCTCGTGAATGTGGGGGTCTAGGTCTCTTCTATACTAACGATTTTATTATAGGTTTAAAAGTGTCACTTATAGGAAAAGTTATCGATCCTAATTTCCAACATGCCTGGAAAAATATTATCATCAATCAGCTTTTACACCCAAATATACCAACTGTGTGTATAGAAAACTGTCTCACATTAAAGAATACTGGTTTTACCTTTAACCTACTTCGCCATTATAAGCTTTGGAAGTCTATTTCTTCACAGTCAAGTAACAGTACAGTCAACCACTGTGTGTGGGGAAGCGACGTAATAACGGACATTGGCTCCAAGCTCTGGAACGATATTCTTATTGATAGAAATATCATCTATCTTTCTGATTTCGTTTCAGAGGAAGGTAACCTCTTAAGTTTCCAGCAATTTCTGAGAAAGTGGGGCCAAACAAGTAGTATAATCTCTTCGACTCAATATGCGAGTATAAAATTGGGAATACGTCGATTTAATAATACCGATACGTTTACAAGTAACATTACATTTATCGATACCCAACTTTCACTTCGCTTTTGGAGAGGTAGGAATACCCCCAACTCTAGAGATACTCCTCTCACTATCAAAGGTAGAAACATTAGAGATACCATGTCTAAGCGTTTAGATCCCAGCACCCTTCCTCCAATGAGGAACTGGAGTGCTAACCTCTCCTTAACGGATATTGATTGGATTAGTATTTTTACGGATATTTTTACTTCTTTCTCAAATAACTTCAAACTTATTCAGTACCAATATAAGCTCCTTCACCGGATTAGTACTTGTCGGTACATGAGATATAAAATGAAGATTGAAAAAGATAGTCCAATTGCTCGTTATGTAATCACAACCTCGAAACTATCTCTCACATATTTATTGACTGTCCAGCCACAAGCTCTTTCCTACAGGGAGTAAATCTGTTTATTAGATCGAATATTGACGCAAATTATGACGACCCATATCGCCACTATTTGATTTGCTTAAATCACAGAGATAAAAGTGTTAACTTCATAAACTCGGTTTGCTGTTGGTTTATTGGAAGGAGTTTCCAGAACAAGGAACCCCTATTCTGGGAGCGATATCTTAAACATCTTAAGCTTTTCTTATTAGGTGAAAAATCGGATATTATACGGTGCCTTAAAGACGTTATACCTTGATGACCATTTTATACCCAAAGTTCTGGATCCACTATACACTCTTGTTTATTTATTTTCTCGAAAATTCAGCCGTGCCTTACCTTTACCCTTTATTTCACAAGTTGTAGCTAGTGGAGTTATCTCCACTACTAGTATTGATATAGAGTCACATTTAAAACCAGTAGTATCTCTCCTTTTTCTCTCCATCTTATGTGCAATTTATTACTCTATATCCACTGACTTTATTCGACGTATTATCTAAAAGAATAAAAAAATTGTGTGCGTGTGTTTTTATATTTATTTTGCTACGGCGCATGTGAAACCCCAGGGCATCCAGCACCGGAGAAGCTGAAATGACACTCTCTGAACCCTTGGTGCCGCTCAGATTTTGCCTCTTGGCTGGTAAGCTGAGTCATGATCGATTAACTCAGCTTCTTCGGTACAACACAGACCGGAGGGTACTATTAGCCGCTTTGCCGGTGGTATCCTCCTGGTGTCCTGGGGTTTGGCAGGTTCCTCATTTCATCTTAGATAATTGTTCAAGCATTCTGAAAATCTAACGGAAAGTTTTTCTAGCTTGCTCCTTCATAATGATATTCGTCATTGAAGTTTGTGCTTTTTTGAAGAATTATTTTATAAAAACGTCAATTTTGCGATTTAGTATTCTCTGGTGTTGGGCCATGCCTTGGGTTGTGGAGCTCAGTTCTGCTTCCTATAGGTATAAATTGTGTCATAGGCTAGTTTTAAAGTTGAAAATCGAAAAGTTGCACACGTTGGGACACGCCCAAATTGATAGAAAATCGCTAAAATCACTGAAAATTGCTGTTTTCGTCATTTTCTGTCAACTTTAGAGTGCCGTTGTGATTACAGTTCTTCTTGAAATACTTTGAAACTTTGCATGCTTATCAAGCTATATATAAAACAATTACATGCAAAAATTTACGGCGATTCAATATTGGATGCGCACGCAACGTCTGCTCAAAGTTTGCACGTGCGAAAGGTGAGAATTTTGCTCATTCGTGATTTCCAACAAATTCTGCTTTGCCACGACAGTTAAATGTCATTATATATGAATTTAATGCCAACTTGAATGAGTATTAAGTGGCATATTCAGTCAGTGATCGACCGATATGCTTCCCTAAACACAAGGAAATGTTTTTAAAGGATAGATTTCGAAATCGTTGAAACTTCCTCCTTATTTATGGTGGCCGAGGTGGGTCATTGTAAATTATTTCAAAATAAATTTAGAAAACCAAAAAAAACCAAAAAATAACCAAACTTTAAAAAAATAAACCAAAAATAAATTTAAAAAAAAACAAAAAAAAAACTAAACTAAAAAAAACTTTAAAAAAACCAAAAAAAAAACAATTTAAAACAATAAAAAACCAAAAAAAAAAAAAAAACCAAAAAAAATTTAAAAAAAACCAAAAAAAATTCAAAACAAAAATGAAATCGCTCCATATGGCCGAAATGTGCCATCAGCAGTCCTCACTGCGCGCCACAAAGAACGTACGTTGCGCGCGCGCGCAGATGTCTACAATTGTACCAAATGGCGATCGCGCTAACGCGTGCTTATTGTTCCCTCACGTGTAGTCTGATCCAGTTATTATTATCCACCTATTATTGTCCTCAGGTGAAATATATATGGCATACCGATAAACTCCTGTATTTGACGTGTGATTTAAGCGTGCTTGAAAACGACTGCAGACATTAGGTTATTGAGATTGAGTTCAGCATCTTGCCCGGCCCCATTGGCCGGACAAATCTCTATATAAATTTGTGTTCAAAGTTGGGAGATTACTTGGGCTTTTTATATTTTGTAGGATGATGTTAGCAGTGAAACAAAAATGTCATCAAAGTCAATAATTTAATAATCAGACCCATATATAAAACAACCAAGTATATGTTATAATTTAACAAAACATTGTAGTAGGATGATGTTAGCAGTGAAACAAACATTTTATCATAATAACTTACTTCGTATTCTAATCCTTAGAAAAGAATTGTACCAACTTTATAATTTACGGAGTTTAACATTTAAACTTTTAAGTTAACTTGAAATCCTTATAACATGATTTTATGGGTAATGGCTGGCTGTATCGAAGAAAAAACAGTACAAAAACCAACAGAAGAATCAAACCCACATATAAAACAACCAAGTAAATGTTATAATTTAACAAAACATTGTAGTTCTGCTAAAAAGAATTCAATGTTAAAATTTAATGTTTAAAATTGAATGTTAAAAATCTAAAAATCAATTTCATGCGTTTAATCGAGGTTTAAATGTGTTTAACCAACCAAGTAAATGTTAAAACAACCAGGTAAATGTTATAATTTAACAAAACATTGTAGTTCTGCTAAAAAGAATTCAATGTTAAAATTTAATGTTAAAATTTAATGTTAAAAATTGAATGTTAAAAATCTAAAAATCAATTTCATGCGTTTAATCGAGGTTTAAATGTGTTTAACCAACCAAGTAAATGTTAGTACAAAAACCAACAGAAGCTTTTTTACGATATTTATAACTAAACGTTCTTTATTAATAAAATCTCGGCCTCAACGAGACGGAAATTATCAAAATCTGGTATCTCGATAGACCGCTTCCCTTATTCGTGTGTATTCCGCTTTAACCCCACTTAACTGAAGTTCCTGAAACGGGTAAATATTTTAGCAAAAACGTTGCCTAACTATTACATGTTCATAGCCAGTCATTATTACGTGTTCATAGCCAGTCATCGGAGTAAGATATATATATATATTCCAGTTGCTTTTAGAACAATTTTATCTCAGATAACGATGTTTAATAAAATGATGCAAAGACTTGTTTCGAAGATCTATTCAACACCGACTTTTAATGTGTAGGAGTACAGCTACAAAATATATATATATACGACAAACGATAACAATTAATATGAGAGGGGAAGTAGGATGCATTTGAAGACACTTACTGCTATCCGAGGGAGAGCAGCAACGAGGTATTCAGACGCCAACTCCGAATTAATTTTAATACCAGTAAAAACGTTGGACAAAATATCAGCGTCAGTGAAACTCTCTATATCCTTGTCAGAAAGCATGATTCCACACTCCTGAATGATGGGGGGGGTGTCATGTCCGTCTATGTCCGCCTATGTCCTGTCCTTTTTGGATTCTATGAGACAACGGACGTGTTTTTTGGGACATTGGCGGACACGGACGGACATTGGCGGACTTGGACGGACATTGGCGGACTCGGACGGACATTGGCGGACCCGGACGGACATTGGCGGACTTGGACGGACATTGGTGGACATTAGCGGACATTGGTGGACATTAGCGGACAAACATTTTGAGGACTGAAGAGTACTGAAGAGTACTGAAGAGTACTGTGGAGGATGGCTGAGGAGGATGGCTGAGGAGGATGACTGAGGAGGATGACTGAGGAGGATGACTGAGAGGGAGGAGAAGGATCAGGAAGACCCAGGAGGAGGACCTAGGAGGAGGAGGAGGAGAACTGAGGAGGATGACTGAGGAGGAGGAGGACTCAGGAGGACCCAGAAGGAGGAGGAGGAGGAGGACCCAGAAGGAGGACCTAGGAGGAGGAGGAGGAGAACTGAGGAGGATGACTGAGGAGGAGGAGGACTCAGGAGGAGGACTGAGAAGGAGGAGGACTGAGGAGGATGGCTGAGGAGGATGGCGGAGGAGGATGACTGAGAGGGAGGAGGAGGAGGAAGAGGACTGAGGAGGAGGAGGAGAAGGACTGAGGAGGAGAAGGAGGACCCAGGAGGAGGAGGACCCAGGAGGAGGAGGACCCAGGAGGAGGAGGACCCAGGAGGAGGACCCAGGAAAAGGCCCCAGGAGGAGGAGGAGGACTGGGGAAGAGGAGAACTGTTGAGGACTGATGAGGAGGACTGAGGACGAGGAGGAGGAGTAGGAGGAGGACTGAGGAGGGGAGGAGGAAGAGGACTGGGGAGGATCAGGAAGACCCAGGAGGACCCAGGAGGAGGAGGAGGACCCAGGAGGAGGAGGAGGACTGAGGAGGAGGACTGACGATGACTGAGAAGGAGGAGGACTGAGGAGTACTGAGGAGAATGGCTGAGGAGGATGGCTGGGGAGGATGGCTGAGGAGGATGACTGAGGAGGATGACTGAGGAGGATGACTGAGAGGGAGGAGAAGGATCAGGAAGACCCAGGAGGAGGAGGAGGAGGAGGACCCAGAAGGAGGACCTAGGAGGAGGAGGAGGAAGGCTGAGGAGGATGACTGAGAGGGAGGAGGAGGAGGAAGAGGAGGAAGAGGACTGAGGAGGAGGAGAAGGACTGAGGAGGAGAAGGAGGACCCAGGACCTCAGCAGAGGCACATATTAGGTGCGGTAAAAAAATCGAAATTATGCGGTACCGCACCCGACTATAAAGGTAAAATGTGCGGTAAGGTGCGGTAAATTTTAACCAATTATGCGGCAAATGTGCGGCGATTTTTCGAAATTTGTGCGGGAATTGTGCGGTTTTCTTTTGCATTTTCTCAAGGACTTTGGAAATTCTAAACGTATAACCGCCGCTCTTATAAAAAATAGGTCTGTTTATGTGTTACTGAGGGTGTAGTTCTTTACTAAGACTATGATTGAACCTATATTGAGATTCAGTTATCTGAGAACAGTGACTTGATCTGGTAGAGATCAGGAGACAGTTGTTTGAAGACGCCTCTTGATAGAGTCGATCAGATCCCATGCGTGATCGCAAATATGTGACACGCTTGTTGGCATTGATTGTCAGTACTTGTGAACCATTTGATCCAAGATCCATTAAGCCCACAATAAAGCCTACGCTACATTCTACAACGAATAAAGCTCATTACCCTTTACACCTACTTCTTCTATTATGGGATACTGAAGGGAAAGGAAGCAGTTCTAGTAGCGCTTCTCAAACACAAGTATATATCTTGTGAATTCGGCTAGTATATATGAAACATTTGACACGGAGTTGCAGAGTGAGCTATGTGCCTCGCCGGGTTAAAGTAATGGGTGTCCTTGCTGTACGGTATGTTAAACAAGGAACTGAAACTACTAGGTTCCGTACAGGTTCAACTCTGCACTCATGTCAATATGTTCAAATGCAAGCCTCTTGATTTATTATCACCTACTTTGGATCATAGAATCTACTCAACAACTTCAACCCCTGATATAGAGTAATCAAATGTGGTGAAGTTACGAATGATAACTGATACACTATAATCGAAGTACGGTAACGACGAGGGTTCCAGAACGGCCTGGTTCACGGTCCCGAAAGGGCCTGAGTCAGGGTCCCGAAAGGGCCTGGGTAACGGTCCCGAAAGGGCCTCGGTCACGTGGTAACCGGGTCACGTGGCCTAAGCATGAGTTCCAAAAGGGCCTGGGTCACGGTCCCGAAAGGGCCTGGGTCAGGGTCCCGAAAGGGCCTGAGTCACGGTCCTATTATATAAAAGGGCCCGACTTTTAACATATTTTAGTTTTTACACTCGAAAATCTTAACGCGAAAATTTCAAAATTATGCAAAATTACGCGGAAAATGCTAGATTATGCGGAAATATGCAGATAATCACAAAATGTGCGGAAATGTGCGGAAAACAATAAATTATGCGGAAGTGTGCGGAAAACGGTAAATTGTGCGATCCCGCACCCATCGCACCTAATATGTGCCCATGAGTCCCAGGAGGAGGAGGACCCAGGACGAGGAGGACCCAGGAGGACCCAGGAAAAGGCCCCAGGAGGAGGAGGAGGACTGGGGAGGAGTAGGACTGTTGAGGACTGATGAGGAGGACTGAGGACGAGGAGGAGGAGTAAGAGGAGGACTGAGGAGGGGAGGAGGAAGAGGACTGGGGAGGATCAGGAAGACCCAGGAGGAGGAGGAGGAGGAGGATCAGGAGGAGGACCCAGGAGGAGGAGGAGGACTGAGGAGGACTGAGGAGGAGGACTGACGATGACTGAGAAGGAGGAGGACTGAGGAGTACTGAGGAGGATGGCTGAGGAGGATGGCTGGGGAGGATGGCTGAGGAGGATGACTGAGGAGGATGACTGAGAGGGAGGAGGAGGAGGACTCAGGAGGGAGAGGAGGAGGAGGACTCAGGAGGAGGACTTGGGAGAAATGAGAAGGAGGACTGAGGAGAACTGAGGAGGAGGAGGAGGAGGAGGAGGAGGAGGAGGAGGAGGAGGAGGAGGACTGAATAGGAGGAGAAGGAGGGGGACTGGGAGAGGACTGGGGAGGAGGAGGACTGATGAGAAGGATGAGGAGGAGGACCCAGGAGGAGGAGGACCCAGGACCGAGGAGGAAGAGTAGGAGGATGAAGAGGAGGAGGAGGACTCAGGAGGAGGAGGACTCAGGAGGAGGACTGAGGAGGATTGCTGAGGAGGATGACTGACAGGGAAGAGGAGGACTGAGAAGGAGGAGGACTGAGGAGGAGGAGGAGGAGGATGGCTGAATAGGAGGAGGAGGGGGACTGGGGGAGGACTGAGGAGGAGGATGGAGGACTGAGGAGAAGGATGAGGAGGAGGACTGAGGACTGAGGAGGAAGAGGAGGAGGAGGACCCAGGAGGAGGACCCAGGAGGAGGACTCAGGAGGAGGAGGAGGACTGGGGAGGAGGAGAACTGTTGAGGACTGATGAGGAGGACTGAGGACGAGGAGGAGGACTGAGGAGGGGAGGAGGAAGAGGACTGAGGAAGATCAGGAAGACCCAGGAGGAGGAGGTGGAAGAGTAGGAGGAGGAAGCATCTGAATGTTATTTCCATTTTTGTCCGTTTTTGTCCATTTTTGTCCGCTCTATTTTTTGTCCGTTTTGAAAATATAGGGTACCGAACGGACAAAAAACATGATCCCCCTATAACAGCAAAAATTGAACATTTTATTTAGCAATTTAGGTGTCCATTAATGTCCGTATATGTCCGTCTATGTCCGCCAATGTCCGCCTATGTCCGTCTATGTCCGCCTATGTCCGTCTATGTCCGCCTATGTCCGCCTATGTCCGCCTATGTCCTGTCCTTTTTGGATTCTATGAGACAAGCGGACATAGACGGACGTGACACCCCCCCCAATGATAAATAATACCTGATAATTAATAAGAGAGGGGAAAATAAATAAAAATTGGGCCCAGATAATGGGTTTTCTGTCTGCTAATTTGTATAGCTATGATTGGGTTGTTTTTGTTTGCTAATTTATCTGATTGCGTTAGCCAACACTGTTGACGGTTTTTAGTAAAGAATAATTCATTGGATCTAATCAAACTAACCTCTCCGCCGTACTCTTCTGGGCACGAATACACATGCTCAGGGATTGTTCCTGATGGAAGTTCCACGTTGCGCTGCTTTCTTCCCCTGAACAGATTTATTAGATTATTAGATATGCACTTAAAGAGGCCTCATGTAGCCTCCAGGCTCGAAAAACCCCGAAAAACCCCGACACACCCCGAAAAACCCCGACAAACCCCGACACACCCCGACATATCCCGACAAACCCCGACAAACCCCGACGTGTCGAGATATGTCAGGGTATGTCGGATTATGTCAGTTTGCCCCAATAATTTCAAACCCCGACACACGCCGAAATATCCCGACAAACCCCGACATATCCCGACAAACTTCGACAAACCCCGACAAACTCCGACACACCCCGACAAACCCTGACAAACCCCGACAAACCCCGACGTGTCGAGATATGTCGTATCATGTCGGGCCAACCGGCTACACGAGGCCTTTAAAGACATCCTATATGTTGTTTCTATTCTTGAATGTTTTCAGTAATTTCGTATTGCAGTTTACTATAAATTTATAAAGTTATAATCCTACCTCATATTGTTATGGTTCTCCCTGAATTCGTCGAGATAACGTTCGACAACAGGTATGAACACACCAGCAATTAAATCCCTGTCATACTCGCAACTTGAATCATACAGACCGTCTTGATCAATCTCTCTAAGTACGTGACGAAAACCATCACAAACCTTTTCGCGGACCTGTCAGCATTTTTTACTTGGAAAATGGGGACAAACTATGGTATAAGTAAGGAAACGGACTTTGCTTTGCCTATGTTTGTTTCTTGTCGACAAATAATTGTTTTGAAAACGGTTGTGACCTAAGAAGTGAGCAAGATCTAACCAGATTTAGCAAACATTTCACTCCAACTATTGCCTACCTGCCTCCACAATCGTTCTATTTTGTTGGCAGTAGAAGGACCAAGTATCGTTGTAATCTCCTTGTCAACATTTTTCAGTTGCAATAGAGTTTTCTGAAAAACAAGAGTGAAAACAAGCAGAATCCTGCGGTCTAACACCATAGCTTTAAGGTACGTATTGAAATTTAATATGGAAACAGCATTTGTAGCAGACATGGCACAGGGACAGTAGGCAGTAGAATATATAAAAAACGCCTTGGAAAATTAACTCACGTGTACAGCTGCAGCATGGACGGTCTCAGTTCCTTTGTCAAATCGAAGCATTTGCGGTAAAACTCTAGATTCCAGCAGATGGTCAAACAAAATACGTCCAATAACTTCACTGTCTCTATTAGACCGCCCAATGTACAAGAAGATGATTTTCCTACTGTAAGTATCAAGGGCCCTGTGAAAAATTAAAAAGAATTAATAACGCTAGCATATCGCCCGACCTAAGAACCAACTTTATAAATATAATGAAATCTTATCATGATGATCAGCAATGTTTAAATTATGAATTACTTTAATTTAAGCATCCCTCCCCATCACCTCTTAATAAAATACACTGCTAAAAATACATTGTTTAACTGTTTCATACTCAACAGCTATAAATTCACCCTTCTCCCAAAAGTCTTCCTCCGAGCTTTTCTCCCTGTTACATGATAGATAAGATTTGTTTGATTTGTTCAAGCTCCCCGTCAAGATTGAAGGGCCTTAATTTTGCTCACATCATTTCTACAGTCTAAAACTTATATCATAGTTTGGTTATATTCTGTGTTTAAGCCCCTTGCCAAAATTAAAAGATCGGTACCACGCTATAGTCTATACACTCTACAGGGGCAGAACACCAAATAGGTGCTACAGTATAGTGATATAACTGATTGGCTGATAAGGGGGAAATCTTATCCAATGCTGTGCTCCCATACTGTCACATGATGCACTCAATCTCATCACGTAGTGTGTGCGCTCATGTCACGTGACAATATTCAGTCAGGTGCACCGTGCACACACTCAATCATGGTTATACAACATACACATGATATGCGCCCAGAAATGCCCAGCAGGGTTATCTTTCTAGCTGATGTTGACAGTGGGATTACCCGTTTAATCCCGCCCCTTATGAGCCATCCCGCCCCTTTCAAAACATCATGAAGGAATTTATAAGTTGTGGGATGGTATAAAAACAATTAGAGCTCAGCAATGGCATGTTTTCACACAAACAAGAAATGTAACATACCCATATATTTTGAGGTCGAATTGGCAGTTGGCATCCCCACTTAACTTGTCATGGCCATCCAGACTCCGTAAGTAGTTTGGCCCCTTGCTGAAGAAGGTCTTCTTAGGCCTCTTATTCTTGAACTTTGGAGTGCGCATAACAACACCTTGTGGATCAACTAACCTTAGTGTATTCATAACATCATCTCTCGATACGAAGAGGCCTTGAGACCTGCAACAAGGAACAGTGAATATACTGAATATCGATAAATAAGGTGTATATATACACATATATGCATTATACCGTTCCTCAACATCGTGATGCCATTGTTTTAATACTACTTCAAGGCGCCTCAATTATTATAAAAATGTTTACTCCTTTTTTCATTGACGTGTTTAAATATTTTAACTTGTTACATTAACACTACAAATTTGCCCTTTTTAGTGTACCTTAGTTTTTCAGTCACATCCCGGTATCCTAATTGGCCCGAACTTTCGTTAACAACATTCTGTACCGCCGTCAGCAAAGTATGATCATCAACATCATTGTGTCGTTTAATGTTCCAGTGATTCAGCATTCTGCAAAGCACTTATTAGTGAAACTTTTAGTTTTACTGAAAATGTTTTGTTTTACTCAATCAATCCATGTGTATTGTGTACACATATGCACAACAGATTTTTGTTTTTAATATGTGGTCATTTGGTAAAGTATAAGTGTCGGTGTTAATCTTTAGTTCAAATACCAGTGAGGTAGATCGTAGAGGGCTGAGGGAGTGGAAGGTTTTTCGTCAGAAATATGAAAATTCAAAACCCATTCGATATGTTCATAGTAACTTGACTAGACTTAAACGCACTTGTGTGCTCATGAGTGTAATGAAGGAGGGTCCAATAAGAGTTAAATACACGGCGCAATTCTGCAACGTTTTACGTTGACATAGCAAAACTGAACTGCACATTGAATGAGGGTCCAATAGGGGCGCGAGCAATTTTGCTATGTAAATATAACAAAATTGCGCCCCGCATTAGACCCTCGTTCATTGCATCTATGAGCACACATGCAGTAATGAACAGTAAACACGATTTCCATTAATTTACAATGTTCATTGTCTGCATTATACCTTTTTACAGTGCGTTCTGAATAAGCCCTGTAGTTGGGGAACTTCTTTGGCAGGAGTGAAGTAATCTCGCTGCAAGTATAGTTGGATGCTCTTGAAGCCTCCAAAAAGTGTCTCAGATCTTCGTCTCCCATCCATGCTGGACCATCCATGACATATACCTATATTTTATGTTCTCATGTTGTGAAATTATTCATGGGACAAAGCAATATCACAAATTACTTTGCAATAATGTCCTAGTTGCACACAATATTTTGATGATATTCAACTTCATTATTTGTTATTTGGTAATGCAGAAGGTATTTTAACAGTATTAATACCCTACTATATAATGAAGATCATCAAAAGGCACTGAAAGAAAAATTTTTATTTTTTTGAAAGAAAAATTTTTATTTACCACAAAACAATCAAAACATAATGTTATATTCATAAATAAAATCAAATTTCAATTTCAACCACATATACAGTACGCCGCGCACACAGCCACTATTTTGGTGGGCGTTCTTATAGTTCTACTGTTCCATATCTTCCAAAGATGGATACTAGGCTCAGGTTACTTGGCTCAGATCTCGTGTCTTCTGATGCTTTGAGAGGGCCTGACATGGTTCAGATCTCGAGCCTTGGGTCGGATCTCGATGTTTGAGGATCGTATCCTTTTCGGCACGCTTTGTAAACACATAAGCTTGTTAGATCAGATCTTGCGAAAGGCACCTGAGACCTTGTCATCTATTAGTACGCTTGTTATACAGATCGGATCAATACATAAGAAAGAGAGATGGTGGTCGCAGAATCTAATTATGATTGTCTTCAGCAAGTACATCCGCTGACAAAGAGGAGCTCAACTACTTCTGGAGTCTGGACACAGACGGTGTCCTCAACACCCGGAGAAAGGATCGAGATACCCTACTACCTCTACCTGGAGATGCCAGAGGTACAGAATCAAGAAATGTCCTGCTCATGTAATCCTTGACCATGGAGATCAGTCCTTGGCCAGCGGTGCCAAACCTCATTCCCACGACCCTGACAACTTAAAGTTAAACTAGAGCGGTATTTGGAAACCTGTTTATCTTTTAGTTATTTCTAACTGACGATTGGGTTCAGTTGTCGTTTCAAAGTTAATTAGGTAAACTGATTGGGTTTTTAATTATTTTCCCAAGCTACCCTGTCTAGGAAAAGTCCAAATTGGGTTCAGTTGTCCGGTAGCCTTTGAGGAGCTATAAAATAATGACATAATACATCTTACAATATCATACATTTAAAACACCATGAGGAGAAGTTAAACATAACTTTCGAGATACAAATCGAAAAGTTCAAACATCCAGACAAGATATTACTTACTATTAAGTATATGTGCTCCCAAAAAGTCTTAACGGCCATCTAACACCATGCTAGTAGCCAGCTGTTACAGTAATAGCCCAGCCCTCTTACACCCCTCTAATAGCCATAACACCACCAGTAGTTATCAGGTATAATCCACGATTCTGCCTTCACTGATTATCAACCAGTGTCCAAAATTATTTAATAAAGGATATTAACATCACACCATTTATCCCCAATCGACAAAGATCATATTCCAAATGTCTTCAAAAACTACAGACCATTGTCAAACCTTGAGAAAATTGATTGAAAGAAAAGGCTACAGGAGCAATGAGCATGTAATGATAATCTCAATTTTCCAGACTCTACTTCTGGACAATATGCTTACAAAAGAGATCATAAATGGGTACTCCACATCAAAGAGAATACATGAAAACATAATTAGTAATCAAATTACACATCAAAAAGATAACTAAATAGGGTGAAAAGGAGTTTCGAAATGCAACAATAATACTAAAAAACAACCTAGGTATTTTTGTGAAAATATGACAGTATCTGCTTTAGCGCTCGATTTTCATACCACGGTGTAAATTTTCGAAAATATGCGCGGCGCGCCTAAAATTTTGGTTCTATTAAAAATAAATTTTTTGGTCAAAATTATATTTAATATATTGAAATTAGTTGTTATTACAGATATATGTTAAAATATTTCCAAAATATAGAATATAAGTACCCAAAATAAAATGCGCGCAAAAAAGTCAAAATTTTAACACTTTTTTGGATTTTTATTTTGGGTACTTATATTCTATATTTTGGAAATATTTTAACATATATCTGTAATAACAACTAATTTCAATATATTAAATATAATTTTGACCAAAAAATTTATTTTTAATAGAACCAAAATTTTAGGCGCGCCGCGCATATTTTCGAAAATTTACACCGTGGTATGAAAATCGAGCGCTAAAGCAGATACTGTCATATTTTCACAAAAATACCTAGGTTGTTTTTTAGTATTATTGTTGCATTTCGAAACTCCTTTTCACCCTATTTAGTTATCTTTTTGATGTGTAATTTGATTACTAATTATGTTTTCATGTATTCTCTTTGATGTGGAGTACCCATTTATGATCTCTTTTGTAAGCATATTGTCCAGAAGTAGAGTCTGGAAAATTGAGATTATCATTACATGCTCATTGCTCCTGTAGCCTTTTCTTTCAATCAATTTTCTCAAGGTTTGACAATGGTCTGTAGTTTTTGAAGACATTTGGAATATGATCTTCGTCGATTGGGGATAAATGGTGTGATGTTAATATCCTTTATTAAATAATTTTGGACACTGGTTGATAATCAGTGAAGGCAGAATCGTGGATTATACCTGATAACTACTGGTGGTGTTATGGCTATTAGAGGGGTGTAAGAGGGCTGGGCTATTACCGTAACAGCTGGCTACTAGCATGGTGTTAGATGGCCGTTAAGACTTTTTGGGAGCACATATACTTAATAGTAAGTAATATCTTGTCTGGATGTTTGAACTTTTCGATTTGTATCTCGAAAGTTATGTTTAACTTCTCCTCATGGTGTTTTAAATGTATGATATTGTAAGATGTATTATGTCATTATTTTATAGCTCCTCAAAGGCTACCGGACAACTGAACCCAATTTGGACTTTTCCTAGACAGGGTAGCTTGGGAAAATAATTAAAAACCCAATCAGTTTACCTAATTAACTTTGAAACGACAACTGAACCCAATCGTCAGTTAGAAATAACTAAAAGATAAACAGGTTTCCAAATACCGCTCTAGTTTAACTTTAAGTTGTCAGGGTCGTGGGAATGAGGTTTGGCACCGCTGGCCAAGGACTGATCTCCATGGTCAAGGATTACATGAGCAGGACATTTCTTGATTCTGTACCTCTGGCATCTCCAGGTAGAGGTAGTAGGGTATCTCGATCCTTTCTCCGGGTGTTGAGGACACCGTCTGTGTCCAGACTCCAGAAGTAGTTGAGCTCCTCTTTGTCAGCGGATGTACTTGCTGAAGACAATCATAATTAGATTCTGCGACCACCATCTCTCTTTCTTATGTATTGATCCGATCTGTATAACAAGCGTACTAATAGATGACAAGGTCTCAGGTGCCTTTCGCAAGATCTGATCTAACAAGCTTATGTGTTTACAAAGCGTGCCGAAAAGGATACGATCCTCAAACATCGAGATCCGACCCAAGGCTCGAGATCTGAACCATGTCAGGCCCTCTCAAAGCATCAGAAGACACGAGATCTGAGCCAAGTAACCTGAGCCTAGTATCCATCTTTGGAAGATATGGAACAGTAGAACTATAAGAACGCCCACCAAAATAGTGGCTGTGTGCGCGGCGTACTGTATATGTGGTTGAAATTGAAATTTGATTTTATTTATGAATATAACATTATGTTTTGATTGTTTTGTGGTAAATAAAAATTTTTCTTTCAAAAAAATAAAAATTTTTCTTTCAGTGCCTTTTGATGATCTTCATTATATAGTAGGGTATTAATACTGTTAAAATACCTTCTGCATTACCAAATAACAAATAATGAAGTTGAATATCATCAAAATATTGTGTGCAACTAGGACATTATTGCAAAGTAATTTGTGATATTGCTTTGTCCCATGAATAATTTCACAACATGAGAACATAAAATATAGGTATATGTCATGGATGGTCCAGCATGGATGGGAGACGAAGATCTGAGACACTTTTTGGAGGCTTCAAGAGCATCCAACTATACTTGCAGCGAGATTACTTCACTCCTGCCAAAGAAGTTCCCCAACTACAGGGCTTATTCAGAACGCACTGTAAAAAGGTATAATGCAGACAATGAACATTGTAAATTAATGGAAATCGTGTTTACTGTTCATTACTGCATGTGTGCTCATAGATGCAATGAACGAGGGTCTAATGCGGGGCGCAATTTTGTTATATTTACATAGCAAAATTGCTCGCGCCCCTATTGGACCCTCATTCAATGTGCAGTTCAGTTTTGCTATGTCAACGTAAAACGTTGCAGAATTGCGCCGTGTATTTAACCCTTATTGGACCCTCCTTCATTACACTCATGAGCACACAAGTGCGTTTAAGTCTAGTCAAGTTACTATGAACATATCGAATGGGTTTTGAATTTTCATATTTCTGACGAAAAACCTTCCACTCCCTCAGCCCTCTACGATCTACCTCACTGGTATTTGAACTAAAGATTAACACCGAAACTTATACTTTACCAAATGACCACATATTAAAAACAAAAATCTGTTGTGCATATGTGTACACAATACACATGGATTGATTGAGTAAAACAAAACATTTTCAGTAAAACTAAAAGTTTCACTAATAAGTGCTTTGCAGAATGCTGAATCACTGGAACATTAAACGACACAATGATGTTGATGATCATACTTTGCTGACGGCGGTACAGAATGTTGTTAACGAAAGTTCGGGCCAATTAGGATACCGGGATGTGACTGAAAAACTAAGGTACACTAAAAAGGGCAAATTTGTAGTGTTAATGTAACAAGTTAAAATATTTAAACACGTCAATGAAAAAAGGAGTAAACATTTTTATAATAATTGAGGCGCCTTGAAGTAGTATTAAAACAATGGCATCACGATGTTAAGGAACGGTATAATGCATATATGTGTATGTATACACCTTATTTATCAATATTCAGTATATTCACTGTTCCTTGTTGCAGGTCTCAAGGCCTCTTCGTATCGAGAGATGATGTTATGAATACACTAAGGTTAGTTGATCCACAAGGTGTTGTTATGCGCACTCCAAAGTTCAAGAATAAGAGGCCTAAGAAGA